AGGCAGCTCCTGTAATTTCATGAGTAAGGAGTTTGCAGCTGAGCATCAGATACAGACTATCCCCTTAAGTAACCCCCTGCAGGTGACCACGATCGATGGGAGGGAGCTGTTGGGAGGAGAAGTCAGCCAACAGACTGTCCCGATGATAATGAGGGTGGCAAGGCACACCGAACTGATAGCGTTTAATGTGGCCACCTTGGGAGGAGCTCCCATTATCTTGGGGATGAGCTGGCTGGCGCTACACGATCCGCTTGTGGGCTGGCATCAGAGAGTGGTCTCCTTTGGGTCAGCGCATTGTCTAGAACATTGCAAAGAGGGGAAGGCTGCGGAAGGGGCCAGAATCACACTAGCAGGGACGGAAGTAACTGACAAAGGGAAGGTGCCCCCACAATACGCCGATCTGAGTAACGTATTCAGCGAAAAGGAAGCAGACAAACTGCCACCGCATAGACCGTTTGACTGTCAAATCAATCTACTCCCGGGGGCCCAACTCCCAGTGGGCAAGCTGTACGCTATGTCGGACAGGGAGATGCAGGAGTTAAGGGAGTTCATTGACAAAAACCTGAAGCGAGGTTTCATCAGAGAGTCCCGAGCGGTGGGGGGTAGCCCAGTGTTTTTTGTGGACAAAAAAAACACGGACAAACCGAGACTTGTAGTGGACTTTAGGGCCCTGAATGCAGTGTCGGAACCTCTGGCTTTCCCTATGCCCCGAATTGATGACATTCTGACTAGGGTGAGGAAGGGAAAGATTTTTACGAAACTGGACCTGCGGGGGGCATACAACCTCATACGAATAAGAAAGGGGGATGAATGGAAAACCACCATGTTCACCCCTTTGGGGGCATTTGAATACCTCGTTATGCCCTTCGGTCTACAAGCAGGCTCGGCGTGTTTTCAAGCTTTTATGAACCACGTCCTGGGACCTTTGCTGTACAAGAATTGTGTAGCCTTCTTGGACAACGTGTTGGTATATTCAGAGAATGAGGAGCAGCATGTGAGGGACGTTCGAGAAGTGTTGGGGAAGCTGCAAGCCAACCAGCTGTGGGTGAAACTGGAGAAGTGTCAGTTTCATACCAAGGAGGTGGCATTCCTGGGGTACCGCTTGTCAGACAAGGGATTGGCCATGGACCCAGGCAAGGTCCAAGCGGTACTGGAATGGAAAACACCGAAAACGAAGAAGGATGTGCAAAGATTCCTAGGGTTTGGAAACTTTTATCGGAAGTTCATAAAGAACTTTGCCCACCTGACGGCTCCCATCACTGACTGTCTTAGCAGCAAGAAGAAATTTGTTTGGACGGCGGAGGCGGAGCGAGCATTTGAAGCACTGAAAAGGGCGTTCGCTTCGGAAGAACAACTCCTGCATGTGGATTTACAAAAACCTATGAGAGTGGAAACAGATGCATCAAACCGGGCGATTGGGGCGGTGCTTCTGCAACCAGGGGGGAGTAAGTCAGGATGGAGACCGTGTGCCTTCTTCTCGCGGAAGCTGAATAAGTCCGAGAGGAACTACACGGTGTACGACCGAGAACTACTCGCCATTCACGAAGCGTTCCGGAGATGGAGGCATTTATTGATTGGGGCACAACATAAGGTGCAAGTGGGCACAGACCACAAGAATTTAGAGTATTGGAGAACAGCACGAGTGCTCAACCAACGACAAGTGAGATGGGCTGAGGAGTTCTCCAAATTCCACTTTGAAATTTGTTACGTGCCAGGCCCAGAAAACGTCAGGGCGGACGCTCTCTCACGCAAACCTGAGTATTTGGAGGGGGAGGGGGCAACCGAAGAGAGACATGTCATCCCAGAGGACCGCTGGATGTGTGGGGGGACACTGGTGGGGCAAAGAGAACTGGTAGAGGAAACAGAGAATGATGAATACGCCCAGGATAAGCTCAGAGGTCTCAGGGGGGAGGGAGAGAGCCCCAGAGGCTTTGAGGAAAGAAATGGGGCATTGTATTACAAAGGGGCACTGTATATACCTGAAGGAGAATTGAGGGGGAGAGTACTCAAGCAGCTGCACGACAGCCCCACAGCGGGGCATTTTGGGCAACACAAGACCATGTGGTTGGTTACCAGGGAATTTTGGTGGCCTAAGGTGAGGGAAGATGTAAGGGAGTATGTAAGAGGGTGTGACCAATGCCAGCGAGCTAAAGGGGAAAGGCAGGCGCCGGCAGGGTTATTAGAACCGTTACCCACCCCCGAACGGCCATGGGAGGCGGTATCGATAGATTTTATGACGGATCTGCCGAAGTCCAAGGGGAAAACAGCCATCATGGTAGTAGTAGATCTGTTAACTAAGATGTGCCACTTTGTAGCATGCTCACATGCAGTCACAGCGGAAGAGACAGCGAAATTGTTTGTAGAACACATTTTTCGGTTGCATGGCGCCCCCTTGAGGGTGGTCTCAGACAGAGGCAAACAATTTACGTCCAGGTTCTGGAGGAAGCTCATGAGCTTACTGCACGTGGAGGTCATTTTTTCGACTACCCGGCACCCGGAAACCAACGGGCAGGCGGAAAGAGCAAACGGTATCCTCCAGCAGTACTTGAGGTGTTATGTCAATGACAGAGAGAACGATTGGGTCGAAAAGTTGGCGCTGGCAGAGTTTGCGTACAATAATGCGGAGAATGTGTCTACGGGGATGAGCCCCTTTTTGGCCAATTATGGGTGTCACCCCAGGGCATTTCCAGGGGGAGGAGGGGAGAGATGGAGCGTCCCGGCGGCCGAACATTTTGTAGAAGAGATGGAAGCGATCCATCATCAGCTCCAGCTTAACTTAGAAAGGGCCAAGGAAGAATATAAGAGGCAGGCAGACAAGAACAGAAGGGAAGGGGAAGCCGTAAGGGTGGGGGATCAGGTGTGGCTGTCAACCCGAGGCTTGCCGTTCAAAGGGGGTTGCAAGAAGTTGAGACCCAAAAGGTTGGGACCCTTTGAGGTCATTCGGCAGGTCAACCCAGTGGCTTTCAAACTCCGGTTACCCAACCACATGAAATTGCACCCAGTATTCCATAGGTCCTTACTGTCACCGTATAGGGGGGGACGTGAAGGGGAATCCACCAGGGGACCTGCCTTAGAAGAAAGGGAACGCAACAGCCATGTTGCGGAAATCATCGATTCCAGGTGGAAGGGGAATCAGGTGGAGTATTTGGTGGTGTGGGAAGGGGAACCGGAGTCAGAAAACACCTGGGTAACTGCAGAGGATGTCAATGACGAGGTCTTAATAGAAACATTCCACCAAAGGTTCCCGAGGAAACCTCAGCCTGTAGCAAGGTTCAGGAGGGAGTACTTCGGCACCACCGACGAGGAGGAGGAACTGGAAGGATTCACGGAATCGGAGTTGGAAGAAGGAAATGACTCCGATGACGAGGAGTACTTGGGGACCAGGAACAGCAACCGGTGGAGGGAAATGTTCGAGACTTCGGAAGATGAGGGAGGTTCTTTCAGGGGCTTTGCTTCCTCACCGCCCATAGAGGAGGGGACGGGAGGGGGTGAAGGGGGCCCTGGAGGGGAGGTGGATGTCAGGGAACTGCCATCGGAAAGACAGGAGGTGGAGAGGCTCCCGGAGTTTGAGACAGACATAGCAGCTGAAGAGGGAACCAGCAGAGGGAGAGGAGGGGCTCCAGGGGAAAGTGAGTCGGAGGGATGGCTCAGAGACACTTCCAGCGAAAACAGTGGGGAGGTGTCAAGACCTCCTATAGGGACACCCACTCCTCGCCGGAAACTGTCACGCCGAGAGTCCAGAAGACGTGTTTCCGTTAAGGAGCTTTTATGCTGGAAGAGATTCTGTAAGAGACCACTTTCGGATTCTGCTAGCGACTGACAGAGCCATGTCTGAGGGGCTCCGTCGCAGGCAGGGGTTTGCGCACTTGGCCAAACTCTGAGGGACTAGGATTTTACGCACAAGCAGCTCATCATCCCATCACAGGAACTGACCTCCGCTCCGCCCCTCCACTCTCCGACGGAGGCGTGGTCAGTTCTGACTCTCTCTCTCTCCCTGCTGGAGTGGACGCCGGTTCTGATCTGTGGGCTTCTTCCCCCCGCTATGCTCTGGCAGGGAAGCTGGCCCTGATCTCCAGCTGCCGCTTGGGGACTCACCGCTGGCCCCCCTTGCCCTGACCCTGGGCGCCTCTTTCTGAGAATCTTCTGATTCGCTGGAGAGACTCATGGAATCTCTCGGGTCACTGTCATACCCTCCTAAGCTCCCCTCAGATTCCTCCCCTTCGCTCTCCAACTCCTCTTTCCCCTTTGGCTCTGCCCCTGAGCCCCTGACAGTATTAATTATAGGATTGCACCCTTAGAGCAGTAGCCTGAGCAATATTTTAAGTTTCTAGCATTGCTTGAAGTGAGAGCTGGACCATAAAGAAGGCTGATCGCCGAAGAATTGATGCTTTTGAATTATGGTGCTGGAGGAGACTCTTGAGAGTCCCATGGACTGCAAGAAGATCAAACCTATCCATTCTGAAGGAAATCAGCCCTGAGTGCTCACTGGAAGGACAGATCCTGAAGCTGAGGCTCCAATACTTTGGCCACCTCATGAGAAGAGAAGACTCCCTGGAAAAGACCCTGATGTTGGGAAAGATGGAGGGCACAAGAAGAAGGGGACGACAGAGGACGAGATGGTTGGACAGTGTTCTCGAAGCTACAAACATGAGTCTGACCAAACTGCAGGAGGCAGTGGAAGACAGAAGTGCCTGACGTGCTCTGGTCCATGGGGTCACGAAGAGTCGGACACGACTAAACGACTAAACAACAACAACAACAAGCAAAGTCAGGAAGAATGCATAGGGTGGTATTAAGTTTTACCCACAGCACACCTATTGGAATTAGTGGATCTAACGTTTTCATGTTCATTCATTTCAGTGGGTCTGAGTAAAGCTTAGTTTTATAAAACCAATACAATTTTAATTCTTAGATTAAAGATTTGTGATTATATTGGGGGAGATGAAAACCCCAAGCTCCGGATTGAAATGCATTCTTTCCTCACTGAATACTTCATAATTGTTGGTTTGTTTTACAGCTAAGTAACTTGAAAAAAGTGACCTTTGTCGATGTGTCAGCAAACAGTTTCCCCTCAATTCCAATATGTGTGCTGCGGATGTCGAGTTTGCAGTGGTTGGATATGAGCAGCAACAACCTCAAAGATCTCCCACAAGACATAGACAGGTAGTCCTTTATATTGCCTTTGAAATTAAATTTGGTTGTAACAAACGAAGCATTGACTGACTATACTGTCTAAATTTGGAGGTGGTGTGGATTGGAAGGTTGTCTAACTCAGTGTTGGCTGGTACCCATTAGCAAAAGGGAGGTAGACGACCAGTAAGAAGAGAAGAAAAAGAGTTTGGACTTGATATCCCACCTTTCACTCCCCTTAAGGAGTCTCACAGCGGCTCACAATCTCCTCTCCCTTCCTCCCCCACAACAAACACTCTGTGAGGTGAGTGAGGCTGAGAGACTTCAAAGAAGTGTGACTGGCCCAAGGTCACCCAGAAGCTGCATGTGGAGGAGCGGGGAATCGAACCCGGTTCACCAGATTACGAGTCCATCGCTTTTAACCACTACACCATGCTGGCTCTCTAAGTGGAGCCACAGCCAATGAGAGGCGGAGACAACAGATTCTCGTTCTTTCTCCATTCTCCCCACTGCTGAATTCTGCAAGTGGAACACTGAGACCAAGGACTTAGCCGCACCTTCATTTGCTCCACTGCTTTCCACTGGAGAAACCTGATCTTTAGTGCTGAATTGGCTTTTCTGTGGATTGCCATTTGTTCTGATTTAGCACTAAAGAGCCAGTTTTCCGGGGGAAAGTGGCAGGGCAAAGGGAAAACTGCTCAGACCCATGCATGCAAAGTGTCAGACAAGAAGGAAGCCTCTCATATCCATGTTTTCTATGCATGGGATATAGTGTGGATGAGCCCTAAGAAGGAGGAAGCTGCAGGCAGTGCCACTCCATGAACTGGTAGCAAGTAAGAAGGCAGGTGCCTTGGGGCTGGCTGAGGGTGGATAGAGGCTGGTGTGGCAGTGCTGCATTTGCCCTTGTAGACCAGCCCCCACTGATCTAACTATCATTTGCAATGGAAGCTATGAAACCTTGGATGTGCACAAATATTCTGGTCTATGAGCTGGAAGGATGGTGGCAGCTAAGCCACATGCCTGCTGTCCTGCTTTGAAAGTAATTATGGTTAAGACTCTATAGCCATCTTCAGGTGGTAAAAAGAATGTGTGAAGGCTCAGCTTGGGTCAGGGGCATCGGCTTCACCAGCCCTGCCCACAATTTCCCCTCCTCACCCAACATTTACATCTTCAGCATGAAGTTCAACAGAGAGGTTCTAAAGGCATTCAGAATCTTCCCAGTTTCACTCCTTGTGTTCTTTTGCATGCCTGAAGGAGGTTTATATCAGGGATGGGGAACCTGTGACCATCCAAAGGTGGTTTGACTCCAGCTTTTATCAGGCCCAGCTAACATACATGATGGTTCGCGATGGTGGGAGTTGAGTCTACCAACATCCTTGCTTTATAGTGTATTTAGCTTAAGGCCGTGCCTGACATTTCTACACACTCTCACACAAACACCATTCTCCATCAATTAATGAGAAAAGAAATTGCATTCCAAAATTATCAAATGGGAAAGTGGAAGAGTTTGGATTTGATACCCCGCTTTATCACTACCCAAAGGAGTCTCAAAGTGGCTAACATTCTCCTTTCCCTTCCTCCCCCACAACAAACACTCTGTAAGGTGAGTGGGGCTGAGAAACTTCAGAGAAGTGTGACTAGCCCAAAGTCACCCAGCAGCTGCATGTGGAGGAGCGGGGAAGCGAACCCGGTTCACCAGATTACGAGTCCACCACTCTTAACCACTACACCACACTGGCTCTGAAAGAAAATTTCAGTGACATTCTCATGGAAGGAGGGTGGGAATTTTGCTACAACTGCCTTGCTCTTTGGCAGGTGTTTTCTGAGTGCCTTTACTTTCATCCTGCAAATCATCTTCCCAGTGGCCTGCATTTTCAGCTCTCCTGAGTGCATGCATTTCCTGAAAACCTTCTCATTTCCTCATGGCCTTGCAAATACAGATTATCATATCAATAGGACGTTTGCTAGTATATAAGCAAACATATCAGCTATGGTATTAATGCATTTAACTATGGAACTCTTATTGATCTCCCAAGGCTGGAAGAATTGCAAACTCTTCTCCTGCAGAAAAACGAGCTTACTTATCTTCCACAAGCTTTGGTCAACATGTCGAAGCTCACTTTACTGGCAGTGAGTGGCGATAAGTTGGTTAAGATGCCCACAGCTATATGTGAGTCAACCACAGGTTTAAAGTAAGTAATCAATAACAACTTCAAAAAATGTTCTTCCTTTTCTCTTTCCTGGATCTATTCCCCTAGATTCTACAATGGATGGAATCTAACCCTGCATTTTCTTCACATAATCTAACTCCCAGCACACACACACAATATTATGTCCAGGTTACAAGGTGTCACAAACAGATAGCAGAAGAAGTATCTTGACAGATATGCTTGTAAAACAAGGGTTGAGGGGATAAGGAAAACTCTTTTAGGTACCCAAGAAACTATGTTCATGGCTTGCTGTTGGGGAATAGGAGCAATGAAGGTCACACCCACACTAAGCAATTTCCCCAACAATTCTGGCAACTGTAGTTTGCAAAAGGTGCTGGGAATTGTAGCATGGGGAATATGGTGAGTAGCGGCACCTGTTTTTCTAGGGAAAAAGCACTGATCATAGCCATATTTACAGATAAGATAAAGCCTCCTTTAGCCCAATTAATTCCATAATAATCCCGCCATGTTAAACAAATTCAGGACAACCAACACAATCAGTGTGTGGGTGCGACCATTATTGTGTGATCTCCACAATTAGAACATATCTAACTTCCTGTGGTACGCGGGTGGCGCTGTGGGTAAAACCTCAGTGCCTAGGGCTTGCCGATCGCATGGTCGGCGGTTCGAATCCCCGCGGCGGGGTGCGCTCCCGTCGCTCGGTCCCAGCGCCTGCCAACCTAGCAGTTCGAAAGCACCCCCGGGTGCAAGTAGATAAATAGGGACCGCTTACTAGCGGGAAGGTAAACGGCGTTCCGTGTGCTGCGCTGGCTCACCAGAGTAGCTTTGTCACGCTGGCCACGTGACCCGGAAGTGTCTGCGGACAGCGCTGGCTCCCGGCCTATAGAGTGAGATGAGCGCACAACCCTAGAGTCTGGCAAGACTGGCCCGTACGGGCAGGGGTACCTTTACCTTTACCTAACTTCCTGTGGTAAGCATAAGATTGTCAGGGTTGGTCATGTGCTATGCCATGCTGTCTGTGGCAGCCGTTTTGCATTATGCCACCCCCAGCAGCTATTTTCTGGTGAGTACCCTCAGTACACTCTCAAATTTCAAAATCTGCTCACTCCTTCTAAAAGGTTGCTGGTTTAAGGCCTTTGCTCTCAGAACCAGTAATTCTGATCATGGTCTCATAGGGGCTAGTAGGCATCTGAATATTGAGCCATGGAAGTGTGCCAGGAGGAGCAGAGCTCACATATTGTGGGAATGTTAAGGATAGTAGGAAAGGATATACAGTGGTACCTCAGGTTAAGTACTTAATTCATTCTGGAAGTCTGTTCTTAACCTGAAACTGTTCTTAACCTGAAGCACCACTTTAGCTAATGGCGCCTCCTGCTGCCGCTGCACAATTTCTGTTCTTATCCCGAAGCAAAGTTCTTAACCTGAGGTAATATTTCTGGGTTAGCAGAGTCTTTAACCTGAAGCGTATGTAACCTGAAGCGTATGTAACCTGAGGTACTACTGTATTGAATAAGTATCCTTCCTTCACTCATACTAGTGAGTAATAATAATAATAATTTATTATTTATACCCCGCCCATCTGGCTGGGTTTCCCCAGCCACTCTGGGCGGCTTCCAACAAAACACTAAAATACAATAACCTATTAAACATTAAAAGCTACCCTAAACAGGGCTGCCTTCAGATGTCTCCTAAAAGTCTGGTAGTTGTTTTTCTCTCTGACATCTGGTGGGAGAGCATTCCACAGGGCGGGTGCCACTACCGAGAAGGCCCTCTGCCTGGTTCCCTGTAGCTTTGCTTCTCGCAGTGAGGGAACCGCCAGAAGGCCCTCAGCGCTGGACCTCAGTGTCCAGGCAGAACGATGGAGTGATGTAGCAGAGCAGATAATAATAATAATAATAAATTTTATTTATAGCCCGCCCTCCCCAGCCGAAGCCGGGCTCAGGGCGGCTAACAACAATAAAACAGTACAAAAGTACAGCATAAACAACACTCTAAAATCATTCATTATAAAATTAATTAATTCAAGCCACTGGCAACCATTGGGCCAGAGCTCCGCGAAGATTGCCGAGGGAGGGAGTCAGGCTGTGCCCTGGCCAAAGGCTTGGTGGAACAGCTCTGCCTTGCATGCCCTGCAGAAAGATGTCAAGTCCCGCAGGGCCCTGGTCTCTTGTGACAGAGTGTTCCACCAGATCGGAGCCACAGCCGAAAAAGCCCTGGCTCTGGTTGAGGCCAGCCTAACTTCTCTGTGGCCTGGGACCTTCAATATGTTTTTATTTGAAGACCGTAAGTTTCTCTGTGGGGCATACCAGGAGAGGCGGTCCCGTAGGTAAGAGGGTCCTAGGCCGTATAGGACTTTAAAGGTTAAAACCAGCACCTTAAACCTGATCCTGTACTCCACCGGGAGCCAGTGCATCTGGTATAGCACCGGGTGAATGTGGTCTCGCAGCGAAAACCTTGTAAGGAGTCTCGCTGCAGCATTCTGCACCCGCTGGAGTTTTTGGGTCAGTCTCAAGGGCAGCCCCATGTACAGTGGCATAGCGTGGGGGGTGCCAGGGGTGCCGGCTGCACCGGGCGCAACATCTGGGGGGGTGCGAGTCCAGAGGGAAGGGACAAGTTCCTTCCTCCGCTGGGCTCCCCGCTGCCACCGCCAGCCTTGCGCCCTAGTGCGCGCGCGCAACCCGCCACCGCTGCTGCGGCTTCGCTCCACTCACTGCTCGCAGCCACCGACGCCTGGCCGGGCACGGGCAGCCTCCGCACCCCGACGCCACCGCCATCCCCTCGGCCCAGCCACAGGCGGTGGCTGCTTCTGCCGACTGGGAGGGAGGAGAGCTCCGAGGGGCCCTGCGCTCCCCAAAACCCTCCGAGAGGAAGCCGGCGGGCGGGCGAGGGTCTCCCGGCGGAAGGGGGCGCTGCTGGCTCTAGCTCTCAGCGCAAGTCTCAGCCGCGGGGGGGGGGGGGGCGCGGACGGAGCGCGGCTGGAAGCCCCCGGACCCGGCTGGGAGGAGGAGAGGCGCTCACCAAGCCCGGATCTGGAGCGCCTCGGAGCGCGGGCTCCACCTACAGCCCAAGGAGAGGAGGGGGCGGGGAGGCGCCCGAGGGGAGGGGGCTTTGGCTGCCTCTGCCCGCGGGGGCTCCGCAAATAATAAATTTAATAAATTCCTGCTGAGCCTTTGGGGGGGTCCTTGGTTCCTTCGCTCGCCCCCAGCCCCAATGGCGTAGTGTGGGGGGGTGCAGGGGGGGCCGGCCGCAACATCGGGGGGGGGCGCTCGCACTCGAGTGCTAAAATCCACGGGTTAGGGGGCGCAAATTACTTGCCTTGCCCCGGGTGCTGACAACCCACGCTACGCCACTGCCCATGTAGAGCGAGTTACAATAATCCAGTCTGGAGGTGACCGTCGCGTGGATCACAGTGGCTAGGTCAGGGCGAGAGAGATTCCCTTCAATATAACAGGAAGCTAGTTTGCAGATTCATTTGAATCTCTTTAGTTAAGTGATCCAATTTGGCTTGCCCAGATAGATTATTCCTGGTGTCCCCTTTTATCCCTCTTAAAAGAATAAAGACACAAAAGTCTTTCCTTAAAAGTAACATGAAATTTACTCACATTCAGTTCACAATTAGACCCCCGAAAGGCAGGTTTTCCTTCATAGTTACATAACAATCTGTCAGTTTATCTCACATGGAGAGTGAGCTTACGTGCTGCTGGCTGAGAGCCAGCAGACAGCAAAATTATATTAAGAGAACAAAATGGCTGCAGGACAGCAGCATGGCAGCAAGAGAGAGAGCAAGAGAGAGAAAATGGTTGCGAAACTCAACTTTTATGGAGGCAGCCAGGGCCACGCCCATCTCCCAGGTCACACGCAGGGGAAGACCAGTGGAACAGGAAGTTACACTGACTGGATGTCCCCCTTGCCTGTGCCCACTCTAGGGAAATAAGGAATGTTGCATTTGACTGTTCCAATGGATTACATCCTACACATATGAATCTGGTGTTTTTCCCCTTGATAATTCTAGCTAACTCCTTTGAGTTAAAATATTTTTCATGGTTTCCCCTGCTTCAGATTGCTTTGCAAAATTGAACCGAGAGGGTGGAGTCAAAACTATTTTTATGCTCCTCAGGAGGTAGAAAATATGTCATTCAATTCAATAATTAAGCATGTGCTCTCAGTCTTGCGCGTGTCTGCTTCCACAAGGCTACTTCTGAATTAACGTTTATTCCAGCTAATTAGCATGAAAAGTGTGCAGCTTCTATGCCCACGAAAAGAGTAGCAAACTTTTGCCCATAGATAAATTGACTTTGCTCAGTAACCAAGTAGGAAGAACGGAAAATTTATAGGGCAATAAATCATTTGGCATATAGCAAGTTACAGTCTGCTCATGATAAGGAACATTATATAACCCTCTTCATGCTAATATTTCATTTTTTTGCAGATTTATAAGCCTCAAGGATAACCCTCTTGAAACAACCTCATTTCAAGAGATTGACGAAATAACAGAAAGTGACCGTGATCGTGAGCTGTTTGAAAAAGAATTTATGAAAGCCTACATTACAGACCTCAGAGAAAGAGGTACAGACATATATCAGTGAGATTGCAGCCTAATTTCCTTTTCATTCCAGTGTATTGAGATGCTAATTTCAAACTGATTTCTTCATCACATTAGGGAGGAAAGTTAGTCAATTATACACTGCGATCCATGTGAGGTGTTTCATAGAGGATCTAGAATCTGGCACAGAGTCAAAATCCTTGAGAATAGCCATTTAAAACAGAAAGCGAGTTTCTCAATTATCTTATGGAGGTGCGCCTGAAATCTGCAAGGAGTGCATATGAAAAGGAGAAGGCTGGGAATTAAAGATTTTCTTTTTCACCCTCTAAGGCTGCCTTCCTCTCACTTTTCCTTTGTCACTGTCATGTCATTTGGTACATAGCTGCATACATCACCTTGAGAGGTGTGTGGAAGAAGAGAAGTCAATGAATAATAACAGTCCCTAAAGCAGCCCTGCCCCATTATTTAAAAACTCTTAAGGTAAAGGTAAAGGGACCCCTGACCATTAGGTCCAGTCGTGGCCGACTCTGGGGTTGCAGCGCTCATCTCGCTTTATTGGCTGAGGGAGCTGGCATACAGCTTCCAGGTCATGTGGCCAACATGACTAAGCCACTTCTGGCGAACCAGAGCAGTGCACGGAAACGCCGTTTACCTTCCCGCCGGAGTGGTACCTATTTATCTACTTGCACTTGGACGTGCTTTCGAACTGCTAGGTTGGCAGGAGCAGGGACCGAGCAATGGGAGCTCACCCCGTCGCAGGGATTCGAACCACCGACCTTCTGATCGGTAAATCGGTAAAAAGAGCCAGTGTGGTGTAGTGGTTAAGAGCGGTAGTCTCGTTATCTGGGGAACCGGGTTCGCGTCTCCGCTCCTCCACATGCAGCTGCTGGGTGACCTTGGGTCAGTCACACTTCTTTGAAGTCTCTCAGCCCCACTCACCTCACAGAGTGTTTGTTGTGGGGGAGGAAGGGAAAGGAGAATGTTAGCCGCTTTGAGACTCCTTAAAGGGAGTGAAAGGCGGGATATCAAATCCAAACTCTTCTCTTCTTCTTCTTCTAAATCCTAGGCTCTGTGGTTTAACCCACAGCGCCACTCTTAGCCAACCATATAACCATTCTTATCTGATTTTAAGAAAATCCTGCTGGATCAGGCCAATGGCCCACATCCTGTTCTTACCCAGATGCCTTCTGGGAAACCGGCAAGCAAGACCTGAGCACAGGACCTGAGTACGGTTTCCAACAACTGGCATTTAGAAATCTGGTTACCAGATTTTTTTCAATGAATCCGGGGACACTTTTTATTCTTCTTTGAAGCTGAGCAGTAACAGGGAGTCAGCAGTGGGGATGGTGAGGCAAAAGACCCTGGGCCCAAGCACACATGCATATTGTATAAAGGTGCAAAGCCCTTCTTTTGCACCCTGTGAAACATAAATGTGCAGAGTTTTTTTAAAAACTGGGCAACGGCACGCCATGCGCCCGTGACTCCTGAGTCTTCCCCAATCTCCTGCCCCCTTCCCCCTTTGTTTTGACTGATCAGGGGAGGCTCGGGAGTCGTGGGCGGCTGGCCGTTGCCCAGTTTTTAAAAAAACCCCTGTGCATTTATGTTTCACAGGGTGTGAAAGAAGGGCTTTGCACCTTGCCTGGCAGAGAAACCGTGTGCCTTGCACCCCTCCTGGGCAACGGCCGCCCACCCGCAACTCGCGAGCCTCCCCCGATCTGTCAAAACAAAGGGGGAAGGGGGCAGGAAATCTGTACCACCAGATGTCCCTGGTTCCCCCTCGGCAGTGGCGGTGGCAGCGAGCAGCTCCTGAAGCCAGCCAGAGCCAACTGCACTACCAGGCTGGCTCCGGGCTGCTGAGGCTGCCGCTGCCACGTTTCCCGGGGACAGATTTGCAAATCCGGGGACGGAATTTGTCTGGGGACAGATTTGCAAATCCAGGGACTGTCCCCGGGAACCAGGGATGTCTGGGAACCCAAATTTAGAAGCATCTCTGCCTCCAACCATAGAGGCAGAGAATAGTCATCATGGCTAGTACCTACTGATATCCTTGCCTTCCACGAATTTGTCCAATCCTCTTTTAAAGCGATCCAAGTTTAAGAATGTGCCAACAACTACAAAATTATAGATCATTAAACTCATCTGCCCCTGGCTCCACAAGGCCCCAATTATTTCCAAGAAAGCCAATTTCGTGCTAAACCATGTATAGAGCCTTGGCACAAACATGTTTGTCTTGCCAGTAGTTATGTGTAGAATTATTTCTCATATTATTTCCTGGAGCCAAAGAGTTTCTACTCAAGCAGTGGTACTTCTGAAGCTGCTTTCCCTAGCCCAGCACCAAGCCACATGAAAAATGATTTTATTGATACAGTGGTACCTTGGTAGTCGAACAGCTTGGCTCCCGAACAACTCGGCTCCTGAACAACTCGGCTCCTGAATGCTCCGGTTTGCGAACATTTTTCAGAAGCCCAACATCCAACGTGGCTTCCAAGGCTTCCAATTGAGTGCAGGAAGCTCCTGCAGCCAATCGGAAGCCGCTCCTTGGTTTTCGAATGGTTTTGGGAATCAAACGGACTCCTGGAACAGATTAGGTTCAAGAACCAAAGTACCACTGTGCTGCCATAATGGGCCAGCCCTCAGGTTTACTTATATTCAGGAATGCTGCATGTCAGAGTGACCTTGGGCCTGCTGGATCTGCCCCTCACTTTCTCAAGAGTCCTCTGGATTAGGCTCCTTAACTACACCAGCCTGGAACCTTATGGTTTCAATGGGAAGGGGGAATTTAAAAACTACCAATGAGAAAACAAATGGTGAAAAATGATCCCATCTCCTGCTTTGACCAGTTGTCAGAGCTTTTGATGTGATGGAATGTGAACTCTCTCTCATTTAGGCTTCCTCCAACAAAGCCCACTGAATATTTGACCAAAACTAGCCCTCTTTTTTAAGGGACGCGGGTGGCGCTGTGGGTTAAACCACAGAGCGAGCCTAGAACTTGCTGATCAAAAGGTCACCGGTTCGAATCCCCACAACGGGGTGAGCTCCCGTTGTTCGGTCCCTGCTCCTGCCAACCTAGCAGTTTGAAAGCACATCAAAGTGCAAGTAGATAAATAGGTACCGCTCCAGCGGGAAGGTCAACGGCGTTTCCGTGCGCTGCTCTGGTTCGCCAGAAGTGGCTTAGTCATGCTGGCCACATGACCGGGAAGCTGTATGCCGGCTCCCTCGGCCAATAAAGTGAGATGAATGCCGCAACCCCAGAGTCGGTCACGACTGGACCTAATGGTCAGGGGTCCTTTTACCTTTACCTAGCCCTCTTTTACTTCCATTCCATATAAACAAAATTCACAAGCCATGCATTGCAAACTAAGACTCTGAATAGATGGCAACTTTTCACCCCAAGTGCTGTTCTTAGTATCATTTGTGAAAACACCCCAAGCTGGATCAGTTTGCAAGAATCCAGTTGGGAGACATCCCTGTAATTCACAGAAGGTAGGTATTCAGTAATGATCATGTTGGAGGCATCACACTTATCGAACTTAGTGGATTTATAGACAGATAACTCTGTGCTTGCTTATCTGTTTTGGAAGCTCCGTGTGGACTCAAACTGCTGGATATTGGTTTTTATTGTCAAGTGGCCAAACACTGCCATAATCTTTGCCATTTTTTAGGGCAAGCAGCCCATTCATACTTCTTGAAAGTAAATAATTACTCCAACTGGGAGCCATTGAGGGATTGGGTTAACAGCTGGATTGCAGGAAGACAGTCTGAGGCAGACGCTTTAGGGGGAAAGATTAGGAAGGTTGTGTGTATAATTGTGTTAGGTCAGGAGTAACTATACATGGCACTCTAACAGACTTTATGACTTGTCCAAGCACATAAAAACAGAGGCCTATGAGAGTCTGACTTGAGACAAGTCATGAAGTTTGTTAGAGTGTCATGTGCAGTTACTGCCTTAAACAGTACATTGTCGGTTAATAATGAAATATTAGGAGAACAAGCAAGACCTTGGCTTTTTTTGGAATTAGACTATGTGGAAACTGAAGCCTCATATATGCAGGTGAGACTAGTTCCTGACCCAGAGACAACATCAGTTGCTTTAACACAGGAAATGGGCACCTGTGCATATGTTGCTGGACAACAAAAGCCATGTGGTGTAGTGGTTAGAGCAGGCTTCCTCAACCTTGGCCCTCCAGATGTTTTTGGCCTACAACTACCATGACCCATAGCTAGCAGGACGAGTGGTCAGGGATGATGGGTATTGTAGTCTCAAAACATCTAGAGGGCCGAGGTTGAGGAAGCCAGTGTTAGAGTGTTGGACTAAGACCTGGGACATGAGGGTTCAAATTCCCACTTGACCATCATGAAGCTCATTGGGTGACTTTGGGCCAGTCACTGCCTCTCAGCCTAACCCACCTCACAGGGTTGTTGTGGGGATTAAATGAAGAGGAGAGAACTATGGACGCCACCTTGATAAAAAGGTGGGATATAAATGAAGAAGAAGAAGAAGAGTTTGGATTTGATATCCCACTTTATCACTACCTGAAGGAGTCTCAAAGCGGCTAACATCCTCCTTTCCCTTCCTCCCCCACAACAAACACTCTGTGAGGTGAGTGGGGCTGAGAGACTTCAGAGAAGTGTGACTGGCCCAAGGTCACCCAGCAGCTGCATGTGGAAGTGTGGAGACGCGAACCCGGTTCCCCAGATTATGAGTCTACCACACTTAACCACTACACCACACTGGCTCTCAGTGCAATGAATTAGAATAATAATATATGGTAACTGCCGTCGTCCCTGACCATTGGCCATGCTGACCGGGGCTGATGGGAGTAGAAGTCCAACCACACCTGGAGGACCACCATCTCTGTTCAGCTCCTGGATGGTGAGGCATTGTTCAAAAGAGTGTTTCCCCTGATGCTATCATGGTCCAGCCTCCTCCTCTGTCAGCAGAACATGATTCTTGGTTGCTGCAGCTCAGGGGATGGGGAGGGTAAGAGAACGGCCTCTGCTTCACCATGGAAAGAGTCAGTGTTCCTGAATTATGCCTTATTGCCTTGGAGCTCTTCAAGCAACAAGCTTTGTCTCTAGTTCAAGGACAAACAAGTCAAGGCGATCACAATAGTCATATGGCTGACATAGGGATGGGAAGCATTGATTAGGCCACCAGAATGTTACAAGGGGCCCAATGACAAGGAGCAGGGCCGGATTGAGGCTGGATGAGGCCCTAAGCTACTGAAGGCAATGGGGCCGTTTATATGTCCAGCTGTCCTTTGACAACAACAAATTGTCACTGTTTTTGTGTGTTGAATATACAGTGGTACCTCGGGTTAAGTACTTAATTCGTTCCGGAGGTCTGTTCTTAACCTGAAACTGTTCTTAACCTGAAGCACCACTTTAGCTAATGGGGCCTGCTGCTGCTGCCGCGCTGCTGGAGCACGATTTTTGTTCTCATCCTGAAGCAAAGTTCTTAACCTGAAGCACTATTTCCGGGTTAGCGGAGTCTGTAACCTGAAGCGTATGTAACCTGAAGCGTATGTAACCTGAGGTACCACTGTATATAGAAATGAGCAAACTAGTGATATTTTAGGGAACAGGCTGGCAGGCAGGGACCATGACTTACATCATAGGCGCCTACACAACACAAAAGACTGTTGCTGTATGTAGGTTTCATTTTATTTGTTCTTTTTATCTTATATTTTGGAAACGTACATCCAGGTTTTTTCCCTTTAAATTTTTTGGGGATTCCCCAAGAGAGTGGGGCCCTAAGCTAGAGCTTGTTTAGATTATACGTAAATCCGGCACTGCCAAGGAGCTCAGTGGCAAAACCTCTGCTCCTCAGTCCTTCCATTGCAAGTTACCCCACTGAATCTCCCTGCCTGAGGCTGGGTCTACTCTCATCGTCTACTCTGGAAACGATGCCTTATGAGGAACGGCTAAGGGAGCTGGGCATGTTTAGCCTGGAGAAGAGGAAGTTAAGGGGTGATATGATAGCCATGTTCAAATATATAAAAGGATGTCATATAGAGGAGGGAGAAAGGTTGTTTTCTGCTGCTCCGGAGAAGCGGACACGGAGCAATGGATCCAGACTGCAAGAGGGAGGATTCCACCTGGACGTTGGGAAGAGCTTCCTGATGGTGGGAGCTGTTCGACAGTGGAATTTGCTGCCAAGGAGTGTGGTGGAGTCTCCTTCTTTGGAGGTCTTTGAGCGGAGGCTTGACAGCCGTATGTCAGGAGTGCTCTGATGGTGTTTCCTGCTTGGCAGGGGGTTGGACTCGATGGCCCTTGTGGTCTATTCCAACTCTATGATTCTATGATTCCAGAGTGAGGTCCTTCCACTGGGCAGTGATTCCTTCAAAGATGGGACATGACCTTACAGTGTGAGAACAGGATGCTGAACCAGACGGGCCATTGGCCTGATCCAGCAGGCCCTTCTTCTTCTTCTTCTTCTTCTTCTTCTTCTTCTTCTTCTTCTTCTTCTTCTTCTTCTTCCCCCCTCCTCCCCCTCCTCCTCCTCCTCCTCCTCCATTTAAAAAATAAAGATTGTTACAATAAAAATCGTGTGGCACCAGCTCTTTCATTAAAAGCAGTTTTAAAAAAAACAAAAAAACAAGGGGCCCAATGAGTTGGGAAAGCCTCTTCCTTCGGGCGAGTAGAGCTTTGGTGTAAAGCAAGGATGGGAAACCTGCAATCTGGAAGAAGCCACTGGCTCCTGGCTCTCACCAGCCCCTGTCAGCATGGCCAACATGAGGGGTCGGCAAGGTTTACCTCGCCTGGGCCGGTTCACTCCAGCGGAGATCCCTCTGTGGGCTGCATTGCGTGCATGGCCAAAATTTCTGGCATCTGCGCAGACGTGGTTTGACACGATTTCTTGTCTGCATCTGCGCAGACGCAATTTTCGGCATCTGAGCATGCACAGACGCCATTTCTGGCACTGCAGAAGCGAGTCTCCGCATTGTGCAGGTTTAGCGCAGTGTGCGGGGACTCACCGAGTGGGCAGCTCAGTTTGGGGGCGGCTTGTGGGCCGGTTAAACGAGCCCCGTGGACCACTTGTGGCCCATGGGCCTTATGTTGGCTACCCCTGGCCAACATTATGGGCTGATTGGTGTTGGAATCCAACAAACTTTGGGAAGCTACAGGTCCCCCACCCCTGATTTTAAGCTTTTTTCATTATCTTTTCCCCTCTAACTTCTTGTATCTTAAGATCATTGTTTCTTTTTCTCTCTGAATAGCATGATCAGTTGTTTTCTTTCAGAATTTTTTAAAAATATGGATACTACATCTTTCCCACTTCCTTAAACATATTATTTTCTCATATGGGATGTCTTCTAGGGCCATTATTAATTTTATTATTATATTTACTATATATCTGAAATGGCGGCCCTCAGAACTGAACCTAGAGATCAGATAGATTGTAGAAAACTGTGTAGAACACCTCGATTACTTCCCTTTGTGTGTCTGACATCTTGTGTGGCGCTTATCATGTGTATTTATTCATTTCATAAAATTTATATACCATTTGATTGTAGTGATTTACAACACCTCAAAGTGGAGACAGTATATCCATGTGTAGGGAACGCTCCTTGCAACAAAAGTTATTAATTTAAAACGTTTGGAGGATTTGGGTGGAGGGTGTAGCTTATTCCCGCAATTGTTTCAAGACCTGCCTAACCGAGTAAGCTACGAGCATTCAGAGATTGACAACTAACATAGTATACTTCTATTTTTCTCTTTGCAGAGACTGTTCCTTGCTACACTACAAAAGTATCACTTAGTGTCCAAATATGAGGTCTGGGATTCATACATCATCAGAGAACCCAAAGGTTTAATTTTGCCATAACAAATGGGAAAAACCATCTTTAGTATTAAGTGCCAATATAAGCTCAGAAGAAGAAGAAGAAGAAAAAGAAGAAGAAGAAGCTATCAGTGTTTATGGGAGTTTTGTTGCATTAGCTTCAAATGACCAGGCTATGATGTGATAGTTGTACTCACCATGTGACTCTGTCTACCATTGCAAAATGTTTCTTATGTGAAAATAGTCGATTCTTTAAAATGCGTGAGACGCTGTAATTTTTTTAGACCAAAAACAGGCATCTGAATTAAGATCTTCCCTTCTGTACTGACCATTTCTGTGTATGTGTCCGGTCTACTGCAGCACTGTAAGAATCAATGCCTAATTAAAGCTGTTTTCCAGGCAGAGGGTTTGCTGCAAATGCCAGGTGTCCAAGACTAGCGTATCTGACACTTACAGCTCACAAGAGGACTATCCCAATCCCCCAGCTGGGTGGGATCAGCACACCATCACTATCAAATCAGTGACTGTGGTGCTCGGTTGGTACCATTTCCTAGAAGTACCTTCTCCCACTTCCTATTTAGTGGGACAGTCACCAGGGAAAGCTTCTGTCTGAACAGAGCCTTGGCTAATGGCAATTTCCCTGTAATTGTATCCTCGGAGAAAAGGTGATTGCTTGCAGTTAACGTGTTTACTCTGCTGTTCAGAACTGTCTTTTCCCCATGCTGCTTTACAGCTGAAATTACTGTCAGAAATATAGAGACTGCAGCGCAGAATTCTGCACGGATATGCCAGATGTGTGCACAGTTCTGGGGTGTCACCCCCCCGAGTCTTCTCACAGCAGCTTCAAAGCTTTCTGAATGCAGGAGGGTTTAAGAAAGCAATTTGCAGTTGAGCATGGCTCTGGCAAAAGTAAATTAGAACAGAGTAAACAAAGAAACAGGGCCTTTTTGCTGTGATTGTTGGAGCAAGAGTTTGCCTCATCCAGTTCTGCTTCTTATACATCCCTGGGTGGCTTGGGATATAGAGCACAAACGGGAACTGCCATTTGGGAATGCGTTTGATTGTATTTTCAAAATCTTCATTAAGAGGAATAGCTAAGTATGCCAACTGAGTAGGAAAAACTAGCCTGGCCTGTTCTTGTGTATTTCACAGCAACTTGATATGCAGAATTCAGCTGGTAATGATTTTTTTCTTGCTGCAAACAGCTTCAGCACTTGCCAGTAACAGGTGTATATTAAGCTACTGCTGACGACATAGTTATAGCTTCCAGTTGAAAAGTTGGCAACCCAAATTATGACACAGCGGCAGTTCTTCTGACAAGTAGCTTATTACAGTTTGAGAGATTTGTTAGAACTATAAGAGAAAAAAGAGCTCAGGAAACACATTTCAGCTTTTAAAAAGCTAGAGTAATGTTTTAAAACTAGGCACTTTTCATTAGTAATGTTAATTCTGAAATGGCAGTATTTTTCTGTTATAAAAATATTTTTATTTTGTTTCACTGCCACAGCCGTAAGTTCACTTTCTCTTATGACGGTTTAGTTGTTTTGTAGTCTGTCGTAACTTTTTTTGTATGTGTACAGTAGACTTTCAAAATGATTTTGTTTTGCATAGTTATTTTTTTCATTCGTTCAATAAACCATACTGATAACCTGCGCAGCTGTGAAGTGGTTTCATTTGTATGACACCCAGCAGATGTAGGCAGGTAAAAGGTTGAACAGACAGCTTATACTACCACATAAACATAGCAAATACCCATGTCATGTACAATGAAGGCTGCAATGCTATAAACACAGGCCTGGTGTCGCCCCATCATCCTCAAGCAGCAATATCCCCCTATGGGATTCTGATGCCACCCCCCAGAACATCGCACTGAGCTATAAGTAAATGTCATTTTAAATTCCTACAATTTCCAGAGTCAAGCTATGCAGGACAACCCAGAGCACTGTGGGGAATTTTAAATGGTGGCTCATCATACCAACCAGCCATGGCCAATAGGAAAGTCCAGAACATGGAGGGTTTTTTTTGGCAAGGACCCCTTCAACTCTGGAGCTAGCTGGTAAAGTTGGTGTTATAGATTTGGGAGATGGACCCCCCCAAACCCTAGAACATGGGTAGGCAAACTAAGGCCCGGGGTCCGGATCCGGCCCAATCGCCTTCTCAATCTGACCCGCGGACGGTCTGGGAATCAGCGTGTTTTTACATGAGTAGAATGTGTCCTTTTATTTAAAATGCAACTCTGGGATATTTGTGGGGCATAGGAATTCATTCTCCCCCTCCAAAAAAATATATAGTCTGAAAGGAGTAAGAAACAAGATTCAGGCTCCACTTTTAAGTATGGAGGCCTGGCTGGAAGAAACATGGATCCCGTAGGGCCAGAGCTTCTCCGAGATTTGGTGTTCAACATTAAGGACTATCAAAAAAACCGGCAGAGAGGAATTGAGAGAGAATTAAGAGCCTCGGATGTGAGATCTCCAGGCTGATAGTAGATTAAGACTGATGGACATTTGTTGGGGACTGAAACCGGGAAAGGGGGGGTAGAGTTTGGGAATCCAAAGGGTACATAATTACAATATGTTCTGTTTTTATTTTGTTTTCTTATTTGTATGAAAATTGGGGAATTCGTGGAAGGGAATTTGGGTCGACTTTAGAAAAAATGTTTTAAGAATGAGTATTGATGTATAAGTATTGATGTTTAAGTTTGGATAAGGCAAAATTGGTTTTTTAAAATGAACTAAATAGAAATAGGTTAAAAACTACGGATAAGGATTTGCTGAACTAACAATTTGAATTGGAATACAAGAAGGGGAGGTGTGAGGAGGTCAGGGAAATATGTTATTGAAAAATAAGTATTGGGAACTTTATGTGTTTTTAAACTTTTTTTCTTTTTCTTTTTTGATTCTTTTTTATTGTATTAAATTTGAAAACTTCAATAAATATCTTTATATATATATCTTTAGATAGATAGATAGATAGATAGATAGATAGATAGATAGATAGATAGTTTGGCCCCCAACAAGGTCTGAGGGACAGTGGGCTGGCCCCCTGCTGAAAAAGTTTGCTGATCCCTGCCCTAGAACTTAATAAATGGTAGGATATTGATTATTTGGGGTGTGAAGGGAGAGAAATACAAGCTGCAGTTGAATTCCTGAGCTAGCCTATGGGGGAAAAATGACCTGGCCAAGCTAGGGCCATTAAGAAACAATAGAGGGCCATTGAGAGCCATTGGCAATGCAAGAGAACTGTCCTCCCCCCTTGCCCTGAGGTGTGAACAGAGACAGGGGATTTGGAAGGTTGCCAGGGCAACTGAGGGTGAGGTGACAGGAAAAGAGAGTCTTGAGCAAGGTGTTCTGGGAAGGAGGAGAAGGAAGGAAAATTGGGATCCATCTTGGGCAGACTGGCTGGAGACTGGCAGGGAGAGATGCCTTGGACTCCATGGCTGCACTGCTGTGGGAGACAATTGAAATTGAAATACTTTATTGTCACTTGTACAAGTTGTATACAGTGAGATCACACGAGCACCCCCCACTCAGCTCTCTTAGTATTAATTCCCCTTGTTTACTGACGGACACCCATCAAACCCGAAAGTCAGTTGCCCTGTTGTTATCTTTTCATTCAGCAGCCTAAAAGCCCATGGATAGAAGCTGTACTTTACCCTGTTGGTGCAACTAATCATGCTTCTGTATCTTCTGCCTGATATAGAAAGTGCTGACCAGGGTGTGAATCATCGCTGATAATTTTCCTCACTCTCCTGAGGCAACATTCTTCTGCTATTTCATCCAGCAGATTCACAGGACAACCCATAATATCTTGTGCTGTATTCACCACCCTCTGTAGGCACTTCCTATCAGATGATGTCAAACCAGCGTACCACACCGTGATGCAGTATGAAAGGACACTTTCTATTGTTGAAGGAGATCATCAAATGTTGATTGACATCATTCTTCCACAATACTCTGAGGAGATGGAGTTTCTGTTGGGCTTTCTTGACCACCTGGGTTGTATTTATTTTCCAAGTAAGGTCTTCACTGAGATAAACTCCTAGGAATTTAAAGGAAGAGACTCCACACAGCCCTCCACGATGTACAGTGGAGCTAGTTCTCCTCTCTTGAAACAGTGGTGACTGAAATTAGTGGTACTTAAAAGAGCTTAATTTTGCCTAGATTGTGCCTTCAGGATTTGCAAGCAAGCAAGAATGTAGTCACCAATAAATCAGCATTTTTGAGGGGTAAATAACAAAGTTAGTGAGTCTTGGTTAGTCACATACCAAGAATGCTGAAAAAGAAAATACAATTATCTTTCCTTTCCTCTTGACCAGTGACATTTAAACGCCATCTGGAACTTGAGAACTTTTCACTTCAGGAAAAAAGAAAAGCGTCCATTTATCATATGTGCTGACAGCATTTCATATAACGTGATTTGCTATGAACAGCCCTCTGGTACAGGTTGCATGCACCAAGAGGCCACGGAAAGATGAAATCAGTTTCAGTTGCAAGAATTTAATTGTTAATACAAAGCACCCAACAGGAATTAGAGTACGGCGAGGGAATAATTTTACTTCCAGCACCTGAAACAGTAGAACTTTGACTGGCATATGTTCCATAAACTCCAGCTGTTTTTTTCTTCCACCTTCATTTATATATTTATACTTATTGAATTTATATCCCAACATTCAAGTTTCCTGGGGGCCACTGGGTTGTTTACACACACACACACACACACACACACACACGAGCAATCACCCTTAATTAAAACCTTTCCACAACTTAATCGTATTAAACAGAGGTAGGGAATGCAGTGCGTTCCAGACGTGGACTACAACTTGATCAGTCCCAGTGGTGCAAGGAGAAAGATTGTATTGGAGCTGAGAGGCAGAAGTGATTCATGCGGGACATGGAGGAAATGGGTGGATTGGAAGAAGAGGTGCAGAGAGTTGTACTGCTGGGATGAGCAAAAGATCTAAGCCCCGTTCAGGCCTTCTGCTTGCACCTAAAACTTCCACACAGTCAGGGAGTATGTTGTCCAAGTCACCATCCCATATCTGGTGAAGCAATATAGCCATGGAAATTGCTTTGGAAATTAAGGGCAGTTTTGTGTTATGGCAAAAGGGTAGTCACCAGGCATTCAAAGGGGGGGAAAGTTATTGGATTGGTAGTGACTATGGTGCCTTCCATACGATTTAGGACAGGGGTGCCCAAACTTTTTTCAAAGAGGGCCAGATTTGATGAAGTGAACATGCGTGAGGGCCGACCAAAGTTGTTGACCTTCTTTTAGGATTGAAGTTGCGAGCTTTTTAAAGGGTTTTGCCCCAGGACATATACTGCCATGGGGGCCGGATTAAATTGACTCCCCAAAATGGACTTTGGACATGCCTGATTTAGGACTACAACTCTCATCCCTGGTCAAGGGTCATTCTGCCTGGGGCTGAAGGGAATTGTGGTCCACCAGCATTTTATGCAGGGGTAGGCAACCTAAGGCCCGTGGGCCAGGTGCGGCCCAATCACCTTCTCAATCTGGCCCATGGACGGTCTGGGAATCAGTGTGTTTTTACATGAGGTGAATGTGTCCTTTTATTTAAAATGCATCTCTGGGTTATTTGTGGAGCCTGCCTGGTGTTTTCACATGAGGTGAATATGTGCTTTTATTTAAAATGCATCTCTGGGTTATTTGTGGGGCATAGGAATTCGTTCATTTTCCCCGTTCAAAATATAGTCCGGCCTCCCACAAGGTCTGAGGGACAGTGGCTGAAAAAGGTTGCTGGCCCCTGATCTTGTGTGTACTACTCTGGCTACCCCTGTCCAAGCTGCTAACTCCATTCATTATCCCTTTAGAAAACAGAGCTCATTACCTTAGTAAGTGAAGTTCATTATCTATTGCTCTCCTCTTGCCTTGGGTTTTACATTGAGCTTGTTTCGCTGGGTAAGATTAAGTGCTCATTGAAGCTTTTTTTGGGCTGACCTGGCCACTCAGAGGTCACATTACATCTAGACTGTGCTGCGCCTGGATGTATAAAAGCCTTCCTATTATTTAGTGCTGGCTTTATTTCTTACATTTTATGGATTATCCTGAGACATTTAAAAATGGGTACATGGGTCAGACAGATCATTTATAATTTAATTGCTGTAGTTACAGCTGACTACGCTTGGAGGAAGTAACAATCTTTATCATGCTTTGTTTAGAAAGAAAATCTGTATAATTGAGTTCTGGAACTACCTTTTGGCTTCCTTGTTTTTGGTGTCTGTAGTAATTAATTTCTCTCTTGAAGCACTAATTGCCTTGGGGCAATTATCATACATCTATGTTCCTTACACTCCTTGGCGTACTGTTATTGTCGAAGAATGTTAATACATTTCTGCTCCTATTCTGACAGGACCTTGTTGTGCGAGTTACAGATGATGCAGACCCATTATTCTTGCATTCTCTTGCAGTTTCCAGTCAGATGAAAGTCATGTCAGCCTCTTTCCTTTGTGTTCCAATAAATAAATAAATAAGCCACTTGGCAATTCTAAACCTGGGTCCCCCCTAGATGACCTATTTCTCAAGCATTCCTTCTGATTTGCTGGCACAAAGCTTACGTGGCCGTAAGATGATATCTGGTCTTTATTTAGCATTCATTCTGATTTGCGGGTGGCGCTGTGGTCTAAACCACTGAGCC